TGAGGGCTCAGACCTTATTTGTAAATGTCACTGGAGAAACTGCCAGAGGATTTTAAGCAGCCTCTGTGACCTAATGGAAGGAGCATTCTGGTAGCTACTTAGAAAATTTCTTCACAGTCCAGGGGAAGTGTGCTGCAGTGACCCTTCACCAGTGGCCTTGGAGAGCCATGACTAGGAGTTTTAGGATGGACCAGGGATCCACAGGTGGTGGTCTATATAGAAAAATTCAAAGATAGTAAGCACCTGGGGTTTGTTGTTGGTCTTGTTTTTGTTTTATTGGGTGTCAGGCCTAGTTCCTCACACATACTGGGACTGAACACCTAAGTTTTAAATCTCGGCCATTGACGGATAAATAATATTTACCCAAAGCGAGGAGATACTTAGAAGCAAAACATAGGTTCTTTTCTTTTTTCTTTCTTTCTTTCTTTTTTCTTTTTCTTTCTTTTTTTTTTCTTGTTTTTTTTTTTGTTTGTTTGTTTGTTTTTTCAAGACAGGGTTTCTCTGTGGCTTTGGAGGCTGACCTGGAACTAGCTCTTGTAGACCTGGCTGGTCTCGAACTCACAGAGATTCAGCTGCCTCTGCCTCCCAAGTGCTGGGATTAAAGGCGTGCGCCACCACCGCCCGGCAAAACATAGGTTCTTTAACAGTGAGTTCTCTAGTGCTTGCCTGCTCTGTGTGAGACATGTGTAGCTAGAAGATGGCATCTAGTGCGAGGTGGATATAGAGTCACCACCTTTTTCGGGGGGGGGGGTCAAATGACACTTTGACAGGGGTCACAAATCAGATATCCTGCATATCACATATTTACATTGCAATTCATAACAGTAGCAAAATTACAGTTATGAAGTAGCAATGAAATAATTTTATGGTTTGGGTCACCACAACATGGAGGAACTGAATTAAAGGGCCTCAGCATTAGGAAGGCTGAGAACCACTGATCTAGACAGAGCTTGGGAGTAGTCTGAATTGAAGATTGGTATAGTTGGTGTATAGCTATTTGGGTTGTGTGGGAGAAGGGAGACACTCAGGATCCCAAAAAGTTTAACTGGTCTCTTACAACACCTGAGTTCTGTTGTCATCAAAGTCATCAGACTGTGATGTGACACTGAAGTGACCTCAGTATATTATCTACAGCCAGAGGGCCAGCCTCTAACACAGGGCTTCATTCCCATGGTAGCAACACCAAAGCTAACTCAGTATATTCTCTATAGCCTCTGACATACGGCCATCGTTTCTCTGTGTGTCTGCTCATGTGCCCTTGTGCTTAAGCCCAGTCCTTCCACTATGATGGCTTGGGCTCCCCAAAGTATGCATTAGCCTAGATAACAGGTGCTAGGCCATTTATTTATTGTAACCTAGATCCTGAGGAAAATGTAGGGCTTACAACTGCATTCATTCTTTTTAAATTAGTTCATAATTCATGAGTTCAAATATAATTTCAAAGCTTTTCATTATTTTAAGTACCCAGATGAATTAATTTATGTATCTAAAATGTATTTTGTAAAATAAGCCAATAGAAACCCTCACTTTTTTTTATTTTTTTAAATTAGTTCAAATTAGGAGCAAGCTTGATTCACATATCAATCCCTTCTCCCTCCCCTCACCCCCCCACCCCATCCACCCTCCACTCCCCAGGCAGGGTAGGGCCCTCAATGGGGGCTCTGCAAAGTCCACCAAATCTTCCTGTGCTGGGCCTGGGCCCCCGCCCCCTTGTTCAGGCCAGCTGTTTCTGTGGGTTTCACCAGCCTGGTACCCACCCCTTAACTCTTCATTCCTCCCTCTCTGCAACTAAGTTCCAGAGTTCAGATCAGTGTATATCTGTGTGTGTCTGCCTCTGCTTCCATCAGCCACTGGATGAAGGCTCTGAGGGTCCGGCACCCGCTGCAGGACCGAAACATTCACCTTTATTAAATTTTTCTGCTATAAGTCAAACTTCTTTTTGACAGAACCTGTTTGTTAGTTTGTAGGTGAGTTGATTGTGAAGTCTATGCTTTAATAATATATATATACACACACACACTCACAAATCATTTTTTTCTTGGTTGCCACAACATTGTACACTTTGTTCTTGTTGCTAAGGACTCTGGAATGTCCTAGTACAGAAAATGGTTATAGAACCTGCCCCAGGGACATTTTATTTAAATTATTGTATGTTCTGTAACTTATATCCAGATATGGCTGTCTGAAAGCAAATCATTTACAAAATTAAAACTTAGGTTGTTTTAGAAGTTTTGGAACAGGAATTGGGTTTCCCAGGGTAGCGTGCACTGAGACTAAGTAATCCACATGTTTTTCTGCTGTGGCATTGTACATGTGCACCATGTACATGCTGCCCAGCAGAACACACACGCTCACCGTGTTACAGGTGGCTAGGGACTGAACTTACAGCGTGCAAACCTGAGTCCTGCTTATACTGCTTACTTCCTGGGTGATACTAGACAAGTTTATTTCTCCTGAAGTGAAATGAGTATTCTATTATAGGATTGTTTTTAGATGTAAATGGAATAGGGCAGTGGGAGGTGGGAGTGAGTAGAGAAGTAGATGAACATGATTAGTGCCTGTATGGAAGCAGCAGAGTGAATCTTAATATGTACAGTTAATATATGTTATAGTAAAAATAGTCTCTAAACAAAAGAAAAGAAAACAAATGTGACAAGCCATGTAAAAAGTGTGTGGCACATGACCCAGCAAATAGAGTCAGTAAAACTCAACTGTGATTGTGGTTCCCATATTGTTATTTTAAGCCTCAAGTGATGTTACATTTTTGAGGAAAATGAAATTTTAACAGAAATATGAATTACTTAAAGAATAACCACTCCAATAATTTGAATTTTCCTTATTAGTATCCATATTAGGATACTTAGCACAGCAACTTCCATGTTAGACAGTAGCCTTAGAAAAATAGCATATTATAGCTGGATGTGTTGGCCCACACATTTATTTAATCCCAGCATTCATGAGACAGGGGCAGGCGGATCTCTGAGTTTGAGGGTAGACTGGTTTACAGAGCCAGTTCCCGGACAGCCAGGACTGTTACACAGAGAAACCCTGTCTTGAAAAATCGAAAAGTTAAAAAAAAAAAAAAAAAAGCATATGTGCATCATCCCATGGAATATAACTTTACCCCTATTCCCATATGTACTGTGTTTAGCCTAAAGTAGGAATGCTTTTAAAGAAAATAGTACCTTGGTTAGTTCTTACTTTTCATTTAATTAAGCATAGTCATAGAAATAACAGTGTGCTGCAAGTTTCTTACATTGTCTACTCAGTTTGTGTAATCAGAGGTGTTCAGTTCTGACATTCCAGGTTGTTGATGTTAGAATCTAGATGGAATATTTAGAAATCTTTGGTCTTAAGAGATCCAGTTCAAGTCATTGTATGCATTAGTATTGAATCCCTGCTAATTGGCTTTAGACAAAGTTCATTACTTCATTACTCCCTAACTCAGTTTCATTGGTGGAGTAGTAACATAGTGGGACCTGTATAAGTAGCTGTCTGTATAAAGTGAGAACACAGGACAGAGAAACTACTCAGTAATGTGCCTGCAACCCAGAATTATGATGTCCTCACTACATTTTAGATTTATGGCTGTTTATGTGCAATTCAGTATAAAAGATACTTTCAAGAAAATGCTAGTCTGTGAGTTCGAGGCAAACCTGGTTTACAGATCCAGTGCCAGGATAGGCTCCAAAGCTACACAGAGAAATCCTCTCTCGAAAAACCAAAATAATAAAATAAAATAAAAAAGGAAAAGGAAAATGCTAGCAATAGCCATTTGTAAATATTAGAATACCAATTTGATATTTTAGATATAATTTTCTGACATTTTTGTTTCTTTAAAACCAGTACCATTATGCACAAAATGTGAAATTAAATCTATAGGAAAGCGAAAATAGGCCAACTAGCCTACCACTTACTTTTTTGCTAGTTACTTACTTTGTGGGGACTAGGGATCAAATCCAGGGTCTTGCTCAGAATAGGTAACCATCTCACTATTGAGCTATATCCCCAGACTCGTTTCTTTCCTGCCTCGCTTAGTTTGATCTGATAAAATGTTTGCCAAGTTAAAATGTGCTATCTATCCACTCTTTGAAATACATGCTCAAAATTGATTATCTTGGAGTTTTAAAAGTTTAGATTCTAAGCCGGGTGATTAAAGGTGATGCACGCCTTTAATCCCAGCACTTAGGAGGCAGAGTCAGGCGGATCGAGACGAGCCTGGTCTACAGAGCTAGTTCCAGGACAGCTTCCAAAGCCACAGAGAAACCCTATCTCAAAAAAATAACAAGAACAACAAAAAGTTTAGATTCTGGATCTAAACTTTGGGCTGGTTTCTAGATTGTTATTAACAATATCTAATGGTTGGACATTTTTATATTTAACCATATTCATAAGAAATGAAATTACTTTTTCATGTATATGTACATAGTTTGGCTTTCACTGTTTAAAAACAAAATAAAACTTGTCTCTTGCCCTACTTCTGAAAATCAGACTACAATTAATGGTGGAATCAGGATAGAAGGGGTCATTGGGCCCCAAAACAAGTAGAAAACAATTTTCCTTGTATGGCATGGTGGTGAAACAGATAATATTACTCTCTGGTGGTATCTCTGCACCTTTCTTATCTAGTCCAAAGGACTTGGGACCAGCTGACTGGAATAGAATCAATCTATACTTAAATAAAAACGTTGCTACAGCTTTGTAAATTACTAAGCACATTTCATATTCTTTTATATTGTTCCTCAATCATGGTAGAGTTTACCTTTAATCATTTTATTGTGTTAATGTATTCATTGTATACATTTTAATAGCTATACCACACCTTGTAATAATTTGATGCATTCATTGTATTTCAGCTCTTTGTAAAGGCCTCAGCCTGGTTTGATTTTTTTCTCAGTATAGTAATGGGCTCCTGAGTGGTCCATGTGCAATTTACTGTAAGTGCTTGATGCTCTTATCTCAGTCCTAATAGATGAGTGATGACTGTCTCTTTGTTGCAGATATGCCAATATTTGGTCTCTGTCCGGCACATGATGATTTCTACTTGGTGGTGTGTAACGACTGCAACCAAGTTGTCAAACCGCAGGCATTTCAATCTCATTATGGTAAGTGCTGAATCATGAAAATCATCGGGAGGAAAAGGTAAAGCCGAATGCATTCCTGAAGGCCAGTGGTAGTTCAGGGAGGTTATCAGAAAGAGCTAAAAGCTATTGTGTTGTGTTCCCTGAATTTCATATTTTTATTTTCTGATCTGCATTTTCTGGCTTTTCCTGAAATCTGAGGAAAGAGTATCTCTTAAAATTTTACATCAGTATTGTTATAGGTTTCCTTTTTTCTTGAGTCCTTGGTTGTGAATTTAGTAGGTGTTTTTGTTTGGTTGGTTAGTTTGATTTTTGGCTTTTTTGAGACAGATGTAGCCCTGGCTGTCCTGGAACTTGCTTTGTAGGCCAGGCTGGCCTTGAACTCACAGAAATCTGCCTGCCTCTGCCTCCCAAGTGCTGTAATTAAAGGTGTGTGCCACAGAAGACTGGATTCAGGCCTTTGAAGCCAGGACTAGATTGGACATAAATTTAAACCTGTGAGAACATCAGGTTCTTTTCTTTGCCTTGAGCAAGTGACCCAGCCATAGTTTGCTTTTTGAAGGACAGGGAGAAGTGGCAACCTCAGTGCTCCTGCTGGCACTGTGGAATGCATGTGTAAAGTCACGAGCAGTGTTTAGCAGATCTGGAGGGCAGGGGTAGGGGGTTAGCAGAGGGACAAAGGTCCAGCTCCAGACACAAGAAGGTCTTTATGTCTAGAGTTAAAACAGCCCGAGACCTTAAGAATAAGGAGGAACACATTGGCCACCGGTGTAGTGAGTAACTGAGCGCCTTCTTCCTTCTTAGAGAAAATAGCCTTCAAATGAGGATTTGAAAAGTAAAATCATTTGCTGTCTGCATATAGGTTTTAATTTTTCTGTTTTTAAGCGTGCTATATAAGCCTGTTTTGTAAAGTGAAGAAGGTAGTTTATAATGAATGGCCTTTAACCCCCTGAAATTAGAAGTGTTTGGATGAGACTAGACAAGGCTCCCACAGACAGCTGCACAGCTTATGTACTGAATGACCATATTTGGTGGGTCCAGGCTGGTTTCAGAGTGACATGAGTAAGCTCTGAGCTAAGAACATCCAGGCTGTCTGGAATGTGCTAGACTGTTCTCATTGGCGAGAACTGTTGGACCCATTTGTGGATGAGCCCTGTAGAAAAGTAGGCTGGGAGTAACTCACAGGCCTTTGCTGTGTGTTAATGGAGACCTGTTACAGATACTCAGAGCCAGAATATGACCTAGTGATGCTTCTGGGAACTGATGAGTATACTGGGTTAGAAGGAAGTACTAGAGAAACTGTAAACATGCTGCTTCCAGTTCTTAGGCTTAAAAGGGTACTCTTGGTCATGTTCTAGGTTACAGTCTTGGTTCCCTCTCTAGGGATGCAGGATCAGTATGGGGAGCTGTCACCTAGAGCACCAAGGAAGCAGCATAGATGTATTTTTATTAAAACCATTCTTTTAATGCTAAAGTTATACACAGATTTACTTCTAATCTTCCTGTGTCTACCTCTGTCAGTCACCTGTGCAGAGTGACAACAAAGATCTGGAGCATGAGGCTGAGGTCCCTCTAGTGGCAAGGGAAATATTACAGATTAGAAGAGAGGTCCTGGAAGAGCAGTGTCCTGGAGCCCTCTGAGTCAGCAGCAGAAGTGAGTGTTGGTGGAGTTAGGAAGGATATCAGAGACATGGGACAGGCATCAGCATAGTGAAGTAGAAGAGGATGCCATGGTATTTGCCTGGATGGGAGGTGTTCCCAGGGTCCCCGGGGCCAAGGAGAACTACTCTTAGTGCTGCCCTGTCACTTCTTTTGTGTGCAGGAGTTGTGAAAGGAAAACTATTTTTGGAAACCAATCTTCCCTCCTCCCTGTCTCCTTTTTGTTGAAATTCCAGGAGGACAATTCTTGCATTCTCTTTCTATTCTGTTTTTTATAGTTACTATGAAAAACATTTTTCAAAATCAGAATCTTGCCAAGTAGCCATTGTCATTTGTTTGTGGCAGTTCAGATGCTCTTAACTAATGGTGGGACTGCATATTTAGCCACTGCAAGTATAGAATACTGGATGTTGGGAGATTCATTTTAACTTAGCAAACCTAGTTGATCAATTTTGCCACCAAGAGCAGCTTTCCCAAGAGTCTGTGGTTGGCTGGGAGCTGTGGGCTGCTGCTGTAACTCAGCATCAGTAGCAGTCCTGGAAAATGGTCAGAATTCAGAATTCACATTAGAACTTCTGCTGACTGTCTTCACAGCACCGTGTGGTCCAGGAAGTCATTGAAAGAATCCGACTTTGCCCTGGCTACTGTAGAGAATCCGCTTCGGCATGAGCATTGCTGTGATCTGCCACCTCCTCTCACTTGTAGTTGTGATGAGCCTTCTTACTTACTGTTCCTTGGCTGTGTTTTGAGTGCTTTGGATTTCTGTAGATTCCAGCATTGGGAGGCAGAGAGAGTGTAGCTTTTGAGAAAAACATGTTAGTAATTTTTGTGAATTCCTGTGTTGGCTGGTATTGATCTGTGACTTTGAGGAACAAATAGGAAGTTGCTGTAAACAGGTAGTTCATTGAAAACAACCAGGATAGGAAAGGGACCACAGTGTAGCTCCTAAGTTACTTAGATTGGTGATGTGGGTGTTGAAGAAACTGGTGAGCAGCCCGTTGGTGCCTAGAGAAGTGGCCATGTGATTTTTGCTAAAAAAAAACTGCCTTTAGGGGAAATACCTGACTAGTGATGGTGACGGCTACAGTGTCACTGTGGTGTTCCCAGGCTCCATATTCTAACTGCTGTCATGATATAACCTGTTTCTGTTCTTGAAACTATAGTAATAGTGATGTGTGTTTTCTTGATAGTGCTGTAATGTTTCGAAAGACTCCAGCATTCCTCGTGTTTATCTTCCGTTACTCAGTATTTTTAAGCACAAGATGTTTCTTATAGTTAATATCAGATTTTAAAAATATAATTTGAGTCAGTGGATTCAAAAGCCTGTTCTGCATCTAAATCAAGGGAGCTCTTTTCTGAGGAGACTGCTTCCCCAAACCCACTCCAGACTTACCTCATAGAAAGAAATCCCCAGGAGTAGAACCCAGGAACTGGCAGTGTAGTGCTGCCTTGACTGCTGTGACTTGCAAATTGGCCAACACTCCCTGCTTTCGAAGGCACTATCCATGCTAGGACTGATAAAGGTGCTCACAGGGGCTGACCCGGCACTGGTGCACACCTACTCAGACTTGTTGACTCTAGCAGTGGTGCAGAGCAAGGAGGCCCTGTTTTTAAAATCTATTTTGAAGTTGTCGTATCATGGCTGGTAGTGTCATATCAGTTGCTGCTGAAACTATAAACACGAACAAGGACTAAGATGGTAACTTTCTCTAAAACCAAAAGTGCCATTCTTTTGAAGTGGGTGGGAATCTTACTGGGTTAGTGATGTGCTGGCCGTGTACTGCTACTGGATAAAATATGGTCTTACCACATAACTTGTCTGTGGATCTGCACAGGTGGAGAGAGAGTGTAGCTAGGGAGGGCTTGTAGCCTGCCTACAGGATTTCACGCCTCCCTCCTAGTGATTCCAGAGTCTCTAGCTAGTCCCCACTGCTCTGTGCTCTGCTGGTTACCATTTGTATTTAGAAGAGGGTCTTGGCTCTCCTACACCCCCACCACTACTTCCTTTTTACACACATTGGAGTGATCTTATGTAACAGAAATAAATGAAAGATATTAATTTATCCTGGACAGATACTATATTTAGAATCTGTATAATTAATTAAACCCTCATCAAATGTCAGCCCTTGGAGCATTTTGCCTTAGATTGGTTAGGCTGATCCACTCATTAACCTTTTGGGTCAGCTTGACTCTCTGAGCCTGGGCATGATAGTGACTTTGTGACTAAACCATTCATTCCCAATATTAATCAGGTTGGAGCTGATGAAATTTGTCTTATTTACTGACTTTACTTACTACTTTTTCTTCAAATCAGATTTTATTTGTATAAATCACTTACAAAGAAAACTCTTAAGGGAAACACAGAAAAGGCTAGTGTTAGTTATCATAAAGGATGACAGTGTAAGGTAAAGAATATTTAATTTGATGGTCTTACCAGTGTTGGCTATGAACCTGAGACTTGCCCTTTTTTTTTAAAAGGAGCCTGAATGGCTAGGAGTAAAGTGGTAATAGCTAGTGTTATCCACATATGGTATGGTTTAGCCACAGAATTGCAAGAGGTTTGGAGCGTGCATTTGTTTCACTTACGATTAATGTTTATAATGTTAGGGGTGAAGTATATTACATGTTTTGGGAACACCAGCTTAAGCTATTGGATTTTATTTCCTTTGATGATTTAGGAGTTTAGCCCTTGGAAATAACAGACTTTGGAAACAGGATTCTAGACTCTTCTGTTGCTATGTAAAAGGCTTGTATGCTAATAACCTTTGTCATCCATCAGTTGCTCATATTAGTTACTGTAAGTAGACTGTGAATCCATTGGTCAGGCCTTAGTGTAAAACTTGCTCACAAATGACAGCCATAACCTGGCTGCATGGGAGCAGCATTTGTAGAAACATCTTACAGCTTTCTTCTTGTATATGATGCATCTTGCACATAATGAATTGAGTGCTTTGGATTTTGTGGATGCCAGCATAAATTACATTCAACGAAATGTCATTTTCGTCAGAGTATGTAGTACTTAGGAGAAATCACTCTTGGTTTTCTTGTGCTAATTAGTTGAGTTCAAAGAATGTTACTATAGAAGTTAAGTGTTTCTTACTCTGATCTGTTTTACTAGACCTGGTTGGTTATAATGCTGGTTTTCAATTGATAAATTGGACAGGTGTTTGTGATCAACAATTGCTGTCATGTCACTGTGGTAGCTGGAACAGAGACTGTGCATGACACAGAGTTTGCTACTTAATAGAGAGCAACCATCTCTCTGATCTGATCTGATTGACATGAACACTTGAATTGATGACTTTAGGGTGTTTTATGTCTTATTTTATTTGACTATTTTGGTGATTTTTTTTGAATAGGAAAAA